ATGTGATCTGCTTGACGCTGTCGTTTGACCTTTGATCTTCTATTTTGGAACCAAATCTGTAATACAAAATAAAGGTTTGTTGTACTGTTGTTGAATGGTGATGACCATCTATAGGTCAGAATTACTGCCCTGGTATGTAATTCTGATAATGTCTTAGTTCGTTACAATTCGTTCTTCATTGACTTATGTGAATCAAATAAAGTCAATATGATTGATAAATCAAATCAAATCATTTGATTGCTTTTAAGAGGTCAACTCAGTTGATTGGGAGGTCAGTCCAAAACATTTAAAAATTATATTACTCTATTAAAATGTTGAACGAACTTTAACTAATATATATTTACAACATATCGGGCAGTGAACTTATCTGTGCTGCTTATGGATATTTGTTTGTTTTGCATGTAAGATTGAAATATATTTCACTGAGTGAACAATAGATGCAATATTTTCACGAGTGGCGTAGCGAAAGTAGAATAGCTGGTGTTCACGAATGAAATATGGTTCAATCTTATATGTAAAACAAATACATTTTCTTTTTATTTCATGCTTAAGTGATTTTAAGTATATTTTACTGATTTTGCCACGTAACGTCGCGCATCCTCTTTATGACGTCATTACAGCATGACGTCATATCAAAAATTTTAAATAATTATATAGAGGATATTTGTTTAGTTCAGTGTAAGATCGTATTATATTTCACCGAGTGAGCACCAAAATGTATATTTCACGAGTGGCGCGGTCACGAGTGAAATATGAACTTTTGGTGTTCACAAGGTGAAATATATTTCGATCTTACACTAAAGTAAACGAATTTTCTTTTTATTGTATGCAAAGAAACGTTTAAAAAAGACATTAAACCTAATACTGAATGAAAAGCGCGCCAAAAAATACTACAACGTGACGTCTTTAACGACGTCACGTCATTAAGTTTGTACCCATTACTGTGCACGCTGGTATTTTACTGAAACAACGTAAGGGGCTTAAAGGGAGACACAGGCAAAATTTTCAACTCTTCGTTTTGAGTTTTTCATTCATCTTTCTGAAAATGTCCTCAAAATCAATAAACTAGACAGTCTTAGGAACAAACATTTTCTCCTTATAAAGATTAAAATGCTGGTTTCCTAACTTGAACCGCGTGGGTCAGGTTAGAGCGTTAAGATTTCACATAAGTTGCCACAGTGAACAATGGAAACATTAAAGAACATTTAATGAATGACTTTGACTTGTTTCAATTATTCAATATCCACAAAATCTGTCTGTCATTGTAACTTCCAAGGTTTGTTTAAGTCACATGGCTTGATTTAAAAAAAAACTCGGTGACTATGTCGGCGTTAAATTTCGTTCAATATATCTAGATATATTTACGCTTCAAACCCAAAATAAATAGAATTTAAACAGAAATTCAAGCCGGGACTTTGGAAAATGTCATTTTAGCCTGATTTAAGTACATTAAATCATTTTGATATTTTTGTCATTTACTTGCCTGAGTATCCCTTTAAATTCAAAACAGTGAAAATATCGAAGTGGTAATTTCACTGTTTCAAACAATGAAATTACCAGTTTAATATCACAGTGACTGATATATTTCTATAAACCACCGAAAAGCATGTAATAAAGTTCTGTTAAATTTTTCTATTTTTATATATATTTTATTTTTACATTTTAACATAATGTATAACGATATCGACTTTCTTTTTCCTCAAGAAGCAAAATTCATATAGCGGCATTTATTTTGCCTGATATTCCATTTAGTAATGATATTTTTTCATCTGCATTCAGATAAAGTCCGACAACATCGAAATTTATATTTGATAAATTTCTCTTTTGGTTTATCAGAATTTATTACATGCTTTTCGATGGTTTATAGAAATATATCAGTAAATTAAAACTGATCATTTCACTGCTTGAAGAAGCGAAAAGACGACATGGCGTAAATCAGCCACAATATGGTATTGCAACACTGAATATCAAGAATTTAAATGATCTGACACACATATTACTCTTAACAGCTGAGAGCTAACATAATCTGTCAAGTAGAGTAATCCGCTTTTTCTTATGTTTGCTTAAATTTCTTGTAACACTTGTAGCATTGCAACACCGCATTTTTTGGTCCAACGCGCTTTGGGGTTCAACCCCAAAGTGCATTACGCACTTTGGTGTCAAAGTTTGATCCCAAAGTTCTGTACAGGTACATATGCATTTTTTGACTTCAGATGAACGATAGCACTTTAGAATCATAAAAATTCAATTGATATGAACGAATTTACGTGATATTTAAGATTATATCTTGTAATTGATGCCAATTGTAAAACAAAGTAGGCGAAATGTATTAAGTTGGTTAACAATAGCAGACGATTGGTTATAAGATCTAACTATAGCTGCAATCTCATTGGTTCAAACAGAAGTCAACATAACGTTTTATAGATTCATATTCACTGGGTGTAGTATCATTTTCACTGGCTGAATTGGATCTTCCCAGTCTAAAATAGATTAAGACTCATATTCAATGACAATAATTATATCATAGACAAATAATAACGCGTAAAGAAGACAGTTAATTTCGCGTGCTTATTAAAATAAATTGTTCTTTATGGCATATTTTTCTCGATTAAAATATCATTACTTTACTGTTATAGTTAAATGTTACACCACAACGATGAGTATAATTTTAAATTACTTTTGTATGGGCAGCGTTTTCGTAGTTGTTGCATGCCTGACACGTCCGTTTTTTTTCCCTCGCTTCAACGTAACAGGCAAAAGTTGTACATATATCAAGTTATACTTTCTGTGATTCTTAAATTTTTTTATAGCCAATTGATATAATAAAACAAAAATTGACTAAGGTGCCATGGAATATGATGTGAAATTCACCGGCAGATGACATATTGACCGATGCGATAATTGTATAGTATTTAATGGTTGCAATTTATCAAAATTATGTTTTATATTCAATCATTTGCCTCATAGGATATTGGCCTTAAAGTAATAAGATATATTGATATGTATGATGTGTATTGTGTGTGATAATACATTACATTACATATTAATAAACTAGCGTTGTGTGCCGATAATTGTAGAGATTGCATGTCATACATATTTCCATTTAATAAAGATCAAGTTCCTTATACATGCTCTGTTCAGGACCCATCTTAAATTTGGATTTCTAGTTATATAAAACGGGGGTAACATTTCTTAATTGATTAATTGTAGTTCTTGCTATGTTGAATGTTGTAGAAAAGACTTGCATTGAAAGGACTTGGGCTGTGTCAATCTGCCCCTACTGGAAAAATGAAACATTTAAGATGGTCTCAAAGATGGATACCATATTTCAAGTATTCACCATGCTTAACAAGATCTTAAGTGAATAATTATTTAAATGAAATTCACGTCCAATTATGGCAGGAATTATTTTCAATCACGTATATTTTGCAATCTTCGGAAAAAAAAACATCTCGTCTTATTTAATGGCAGCGGTTTTGGTGGTGCATGAAACTGATACATTTTACACAACCTGAAGTATTACCAAAAATAACATGTGAGTTTATTCTGATACACAGTATAAACTGTCCCATACATCAAATTTTAGTCCTTTCAGTTTATTTTTCAGTCTCAGGACAGCGTCCAAAATAGCCACAAATTAAAAATAAGTCGTTGTGGAAATATTAGAGTTTATTTAAGAAGAGTTTAAATTTCCTTTTAGTAGTAGGGACTTTCATAAAATAGCATGACTGGTACCTGACAAACGTAAATATCATGAAAATTTACTGGATTGAAACCAAAATTTACTGTGAGGCATTAACTGATGTAAAAAAGGGTTGATGTAAACGTCATAAACTTTATTCACTTTATGAAAGTTTTATTTCTAACACTTACTTGTTTCAAGTCATCTAGATAGGAATTAAAATGCACGGAAATGACATTATTTGAAATTTATAACACCCCATCATATTTAATATGGGGGTTCAATATTGCACCAAACGTTGTCTAGAAAATGGCTGACAGAACAAGATTTTTTTCGAATTTGTAGGGATACATTCGCAACTTAAGTACTATAGTAGTTGGTTTTGTATCAATTTCAAGTACTAAAATTAAGCATCAAACTCATACTGAGTTTGTCTATCTGGACATATTGAGCGAGAGAGCATTATGCTTTGACGTTCTTGACATAATTATAAACTCAGAACAGTTTAATCTGTTCATAATAGATAGTAAAAAGTGCACCATCTTTAACACCTTCCTTGCAGCGATCTAGCTAGTATTTAGTCTATTAGAATCAATAGTCCAGTACCAAACGATGGTAGTATTTATTTTCATATCAGAAGAATAGCTTTACCTACAGATTGAATTGGCCATTCAGCATGTCCACATTTGAAGAAAGTCAGAACTGACATTGTCAGAAGTGTCATTGTAAATTCGACTTACCACAAAAAGAATACATCTTACACCAGTAATTTTCTTAATAGTTGTGTAAATATTTAATAACTTGTTTGACTTCAAAATATTTAATTTAATATATTTAATTATTCAATTATTTGCAATTTATAGTTTGATTTTAATGTGTATATATTTTTGTGTATATGTTTGTGTATATAGTTTATGAACATTTTTATGTATTGATTTGTGTACAACTTATTTGCGACTATGTTTCTGTATATAATTCATACATAATTTTTTTTATGTATTTTTGTATATGATTTCACTTAAAAGAAGATAATTAGATTGTACAACATTCATCTTGAATTAAAGAATGAACTACATGTACATAATCTAATTTTTGCTCTATTTAGCCTTCTAACACTTTTAATTTATTTTTTCCAAAAATCTTTACAGTACTTTATAATGAGAAATGGATTGTTTATAAAAACAACAGGCTTTCTGTGTCTAAGTGAGCTCTAGAAACACTCGACGTACCAACTATATTACAACAAGAGAGAAAAAGTCACATCCTGTTTTCCAGGTATTCAAGTAATTTGAGATATATATGCATTGTATGTACGAGGAACAAGTGAACATTTGGATTTGCATGCCAAAGTGAAACAGTGTCTGTTTGTTTGTTTTTTTTTATAAAAAAACGTTTTATAAAAACAAAATGCATGGATTAAATTGTTTGATTTTCGCCATTTTGGCGAAGTTTAGCTTTTCTCATGTTACATTTCCAAATGTTCTTGAAACAGATATAAAGAATTTACGTTCTAAGAGGGAAGGTAAGTTTAATTTTAGATCATGATAAAAAGTTTAGATCAATTTCAGGATTTTGATGTTGAAATTCTTTATAAACACAGGTGTATTTACTTATGATTATTTCAAACTCAAAGAGGATTGATCGAGCTGGAGAAAAGGTCAATGATATGACTTTTTATTTAGACATTTATTAACCTCATTTCCCCCAATCAATCTGTATAACGGTAAAAGTCTTTTCCGACCTTGATTATTCGAAAATGTAAAAGTACTTATACTCAGCTATGTAAAGCAATTGACAGAACAATATATATATTGGATATATAAATTTCTATTATCACGACTGATAGCTTTTTATGCCGAGTAGTTCTATTCACGTGTATTTTTATATCTGTGATTTATTGATCAACGCACCAGAAAATCAGTAATCAGTTTTAGAAAATTATGAATGACCGATGACCACTGCCAAGTATAAATGGTAATTCCTTTGTTATTTTGGACAAATTAAGACACGCTCGCATGTGTAGATCAAGCTCTTAAAAAAAAAGATTATGAAAAAGAATTTGTGACAAAAAAAAAATTTAAAACGAAAATTCGGAATTTTATGTTTGAATATTCGACCATTGGTCGAATATTCGAAAATTCGAAATATTTATTCCCATCCCTACTGAGAAACTTGTTGCTTTTATTACCAAAACTCACCAAGTTTTATAATTATTTTTTAATTATTAGAATAAGTGCCGAATTGAAAAGACAATCTAAAGATCTATGTGCACATGTTGAATTGAAATATATTGCATAGTACATATTGTTAGGTTAGGTCAGTTACGAGATTATTGTGTTACTTTGTTTAATCTTCGGATGATGACACATTTTCAATGCCATTTGTTGTTTGTAATGAACTATGTGGAGAAACTGGCTATTACTTACCAAATATTAGACGGTACGTAACTAAAAAACAAACACCTTAATCTTACGTTGGAGGTTAGCAACACTTATGTCTTTTTAAACTGGCGATTGACACTAATATAAAAACAAACAAAATATATTGTACACGTATCCATATGTTTTTCTTATCAATGGCTTTATTTCACATTTTATATTGATATGGCCTTTTTGTAACATAAGATCCTGAGACCTTTTATCATATAAAAGTATAGAACTTCTAGCTCCTTGTAAAGCATTCTGTCTTCCAACAGGGGCATAGATGGATACAAATGGGCTGAATTATAAGATTTTTATGTCGTGTAGAAATAAGTGTTATTCTATATGTAAAAACTGGCAATGTATGTATCAAGCCATAAAAATAACTTAAACGAAGAAGCTGCTAAAATTAATAATGTGATTCTCAAATGGAATGATGAACATAAATTTGAATTTGTTCTATTTAATAACGATTTGGTAGAGAAAGTGCCATAACCCGTTTCACAATATCAAACACAATATCAAACTTCTGTAGAGTTAGTTTTTAGAAGAAGTTAGTTTTTAGAAGAGACTGTTAGTTTAAATAGTACAGTATATTTGCTTAGTTTTAATAACATGTTATTTAAGTATTTTATAATTCGTGTTATTCTTAAGTCAACGGCCCAGTAATATTTGATAATACCCATATACCCTGAAGCATTCATGTTTTTTTTTCTTCTTCAATATTCATATCCTATACATTCATTTTCTTTATTAGTCATGTCCCTTACGATCATTTTTATGGTCATGTCATATAGATTTATTTTCTTACTTTTCTTTTACTGTACATTCATGTTCTTACATGATCACTGCATTTACAAATATTTCCTTTGTCACGTCCTGTACATATGTGCTCTTTCTTGAAATACCTTGCACATTATGTCATTTCATGGCCACGTCCCTCACAAACATGTCATCATATACATTTATGTTCTTAAGGTAGAACACCCCTAATGGGCACTATAAGGAACTGTAAAATTGACAACATAGAACATTTATATGCCTCAAATGTCACCTGTATGCAAAATTTAAACAAAATTTACCGTGTGGTTTATGAGTTATGGACATTTTTCTGAACTAAAGCTTTGCCATTAGAAGGTCTTTTTTCAGAAATGAGGAAACTCTAAATTATCTATAATATCATCATTATGAAAAATGTTTTCCTATTGCTCATTGTTAAGAAACAAATAATGACATTTAGGTAACAAATTAAACAAGCAAAATGATTGTTTTTAAACGAAATGTTTTGAATATGTATAAAAATGTAACCGTACCCCACCCACTTTTAACACTTTTTTGACCATTTCCCTGTGTAAAAAGCCTTATTTTAAATATCCCTTAAATTTTCCACAATGAGGGCTGTTTTCAAAGTTTGCCTAAATTTTCTTAAATGTATATTGGTTGATCTTGCAAAATATAAAATACTTTTACCGTGTAGTTTTTATTTTATTATACTTTGAAAATATCTGGTATAATATTTGCAATTAAATTTGGCATTATTTAGTAAATAAATACCTACAAAAATTATATAATTAAAATTAAACACTTTTTTCTTCCATTTGGTGTATGAAAGATTAATAATAAATGTAAAAAAGAAAAAAAAAAGAAAAAAAAAGATGCCCCTTCTGTGGTTTGAACCCACGCCCCTCAGTTTCAATACACTTTACAGTGATTCTAGCCTATTTGGATACTCTTCAAAGTGGAGATAGTGCATTAGGGGTGTACTACCTTAATTGAAATATAATGTACTTCCACGTTCTTACATGGTCACCTCCATTATAAACATGTACTTGGTGAAGTTCTGAATTTTGATGTTCTTACTTGATCTCCTCCCTTATAAACATATACTTTATCATGTCCTGTATATACATGTCCTCACTTATCACATCCTGTGTAATCATACACTCAATTATATCCATGTTCTGTATTTTCTGTATATTCGTTTTCTAGTCTACTAAATGAATTAAAATATTTTGATATGTTTAACCTTTCTTTTTGTTCTATAATAAACATGCAATTATCCGTTCACCCTGAGAGTATAGGGATTAACACACTTTATATCTATATATGGTATTCCATCAGATTTATTCATACAACCTTAAATGAATATTTATACAATATCAATAGTTATCTTTTTTAAAAGGATGGCAGTTGATTGACATAGACTGATTGTTAACAAAAACGCATTGCACATGTGTAGCAAATTCAATTAATATATACTATACAAAATATGTTCAGTATACACTGTCACATGGCTATAGAGGGTAAACATACACACGGATGCTGTTGTAAATACTACAATTTACTATTGAGAATGAAGGAAAACACACATCTTGCCCACATTAATTACTGATAAGTTCAAGTATCATATAACATTAGAAGTCCATTTCCAGGTTGCAATTAATCATCAATTAATATTTTTATTGCTTTTAAAAATATTGTAAATGCAGTTTAAACTACTGTTATGTCTTAAGATATCATGTGTTCATAGCAAAATATCTCTGTTAAAGCAACACACCTCCAGATTCATGCTTAGTTTCATGAACATTTTGGAAATGTATTTAAAAGTATAATATTGTGGAGTAACCAACAGTAAGCAATTTACACGTAATAGATATGGCACTTACAACCCACGTAAACTACTAAAAAGAGGTCAAAATATGCAAAAATAGACCGTACTGCGTTAGTGCAAATAGTGCAAAATAAGTCATTAATTGCACATAACATGCAAATTATTTCTTGAATCTTTATACTTTTCTTAATATCTTTGAACATTTTTTTCGAATCTGATTTATTGAAATATAATGGCTTTTCTGGAGGCAGGTGGATTAAAATTATAAAAGTTAAAGAAAAATAAAGGACCCATGATAAAGGCTATATTTTTTTACTCTTAAGGTTACATATGTTTCTACAAATGAAATGAAGCATGTGCTTGTAAATAAAAGGTGTGAAGAAGGGCAATTCGCAGGAAAATCACGGCTATATCTGTACGAAATGTTCTGCACGGAAATATACAAGTGTTTAACCATTTGCTTTTGGCACGGATTCTGGGCGGATTCCAGGCGGAAACGGGGCGGATTCTGGACGGACTTAGTGAATGAGTTAGGGCGGAATTTTTAAGGGGAATCTTGCAATTATTTTGTTCTTAGTATGTCAGTGAGAAACTCTTTCAATCTTTTATTTGTTTAAAATGTTTCTGATTTTTTGAATTACTATTTCTTTTATCGTTTCAGTTTTAAGTCTGAATTATGTTTTATTGCATATATTAAATATTAGCGATGCTAATGCATATTAAAAAAACAACTGTATAAGTATAGCAAAAACTTGATGTATATTTTTTAGAAATGAACCTTCATAACAGAGAAGATTATTTTGAAGAGTGTTTATAAAAATATACAAATAATTCTTGCGGATAATCTGAAATAAAAGCCAATGTATATATCACAGATAAATTCTAGAAATTATGTATTTTACATAGGGTGTAATTTCAGTTGAAATCTCTTCTTACGCAAAGTAAGAACAATTTTGTGAAACTTGATGTCAGAATGTGTTTTTTGGAAAACAACAAGTTTTAATATTTAATTCTGTATCAGATTTGCCATTTCTGCAATGCTCAGAAATAAAATTGTTTACAATTAAAAGGAAAAAAACTTTGCCTTTCATAATAATTATGTAAAATATTTTACAAAAAAAATATAAAACTCTTTTTGGACTGGTATAGATTTTGCATTTTTCCTGAAAAAGCATACTGACAGAACAGACTGTGTGCATATAGTAGCCACTTAAATCTGGTGTTTGTTTTATTTACTTTGTTTGGTAATGTTACTGGAGAGGGCTATTTGCTTTTGTTATCAGTGAAGTATACATAAGATGTCATCTTCAAGTGTATGTCTTTGACAACATGAGGAGAATACTAATGGACACATGATCACAAAAACATCTCCCATACCATACCTTGTCTCATATCTCAAATGTGCAACCACACCTTTTGTTTACTGTTTGTTTGAAAAAATTGTCAGAATCGTTGAAGCATATGTACTGCTCACTTTATGGGAGTGTGCTT